TCTATTTTAGGAAGAGTTGTCTTTGTTATATTTTCATAGATATATGTGGTTTGGGGAGGAGATTTCCACTGCTCTACTCATGACACCATCCTGGCTCCACCTCTCCACAAATCTTTTTATCTATATAAAAATCTATTCTTGATGTCTCTGAGTCTTCTATTAGTACTTCAATTCTTTAAGTGCTGAGTACACAATAGGTTCTCCATAAATTACTTGCTGAGTGACCAAATTAATGGTGTAGGTATTGGCCCCCATTTAAAGTACTGATTCCTGGGAGAAAATTAATCATTTATTAATAGATATGAAGCCCTGTTAGTTGAACCATGAGCATGGATCTTTCAGATTCTTTATCCACATGCTATGTGGGCTTTTGCTCAGGGGATGCTGGGGAGGCATGGAATATGGGCTGTTGCTTGCAGACACATGAGGTGGCGCTCTGGCCTCTGGGGTGACCTGAGGGGGTACGAGCCTCCTGGTGACAGAAGGGATGGTGTGGGGAACTGGGTCTGACAAGGAAGGATTGGAAGACAGTAAGGGTGAGCTATACTTTCTCCACAATCTCATCAAGGCCCTGCCTTCATCATCTCATGTACACTGGCTCATTTAGGATTTATTTTAGGGTGGAAGGTAGATCCCTAACTTCTTCTGAAAATAGAACAAATACCTCAAACTCTGTATGACCTTACCTACAGAGTAGGGCAAATATAATTTATAAGTTAAGGGAAATGAAATTAGGCAACTTCTCAAATAAAAGGACTTGTCTCAAAGGGGGCAGCTGCCTCCTTATTCACCTCCATCCAGGCTGTATTTTGACACCCAAACTGATGAACACTAGACAATGGGAGAACCCATAATGCCGGGTTAAACACAAGCCAATTCTTTGTCGTTACACATGAGTGTTCCTTCAGCTGCCCATTGTGAGCTCCTCTGAAGGGGTCATTGGTCCTTCCTGAGCCTTGTGTGCTTTCCAGAGAAGCCCCACCAGGTCCACCGAGGACAGGTTTGGCAGTGTGCTCCTTGGCGCCCAGTCTGCAGGAGTCACTGGTTCTTCTTTCTAGAGGCCCTTTGATGAGTCGAGACTAAGACCCACAGCACTTACGGACAGATGCATCCTGACTGCTGCCTGTTGCCTTGGGTTCTTTTAACCCCTTGCTCTGTGGGGCACGGGTTCTTTGGTATGTCGCCAGCATTGTTGCTCATTCAGCAGATTTGTGGGGTTATCTTACCCAATTTGCATCACTGGATCTCGCATTTTCCTTCGCTCTATAATCACTTTGCTAGCTCTGATCCATTCCTTGTGCTGCCAGAGGCTGAGCTCCCAACAGTTTGCCCCCATTTCTCAGAAACCTGGTAAGGGTGGGACTCCCCTCTCTTTTCCTTTCCCACTCTGCTTAGCTCTCCGAGTCAGCACCTATGCCATCTTTAGCTCAATTTCTTGTAGCCCTAAGCTTTTTCTTGACCCAGAAAACAGATGACTAGGCCCTTCAGAAGGAGTAGGGCATCGGGGAGCCAGTGGGGGAAGAAGGGACTGGTGGGCTGCCACCAGATGCCTGACTGCTAATTCCTCCTTCTCTTCCCCTGTGTGACCTGTCATGCTGCTGTAGTGCGAAGGACCTTGAAGAGTGGCCTGACACCTGAAGAAGCCAGAGCCCTGGGCCTGGTCAGCACTTCAGAGTTGCAGCTGTGACATTCCCTGGGCACTCTGAGAAGTATGCCCCAGCAGAGTGCAAGCTCCTGCTGGACGGAACCCCTGCAGCGAGGAATAAGGAGATACTACATTGACATCGAAGGTTCTAAAGGGAGCGACCCCCTCTAGGCGTCACGCAGGGCTTGTGTGCATTCACATGGATCTCTGTGCCTCCTCACACTCTCTACATCATGTCAGCTGTGTCTCTCTCATTTCCTTGACACCTGATTTAGTAGTTCCAAAGCACTGACACCTTTTCTGTGCAAGGAATGGCCCTTCTATGGAGATCACTTCTGTCACTGTTACTATGGTCATATGAGGCAATTGGATTACGTTCACAGACTGGGTCTCTCTACATCACTAAAATATCCAGATGTAAACTCCAAAACTGTACACAAAAGAAAGCACAGATTGTTTATCAGTTGTGGATTTTAGATGTACTAAATGTTTATACAAATTCATAAATGTACACCATGTTTCAAAACTAAATAAATAGAGTTTAATGCCATAACTGGAAACATTTATTCTTCTGCATATAGGGCATTAAACCACTTAATCGGCTTGCCCATCCCAATCAGCAAAACATCTCAGGGGCATTAGAGGGACCCTGGCTTGGAATGGCCTGCAGGTCCTTTGGGTTTTGTTTTCTGGTTGATTGATAGAGTGAGAAGTATCAGCAGTGTGCTCTTTGAAACTCCTTTTAATGAGGCATCAGGCTGTGTTGCAGGACAGTTGTTAACAATAACTTCATATATATCACCTGACCATGTGCTTTGTTTTGCCCCACTGTGAAGCTGAAGCAAAAATTACACTAGCATTTCAAAACCTGAACTACTCTGCAACTCACTCACTCACTTTTTTTGTAAAAAATCCATTTTATCAAAAAAACAAATATCTCCCAAAGCGGTTATGTAGCTTTGTTTTCAGAGAC